AAAAAGAAATTTATTGAGAAATGCTATTTTGGAAATATTTGAAATGCCATTTTTCAAAAATGCCACTTTTCAAAAATGTCACTTTTAAAAAAAAAAATTATTCAATATATCATTTATGTGTGAGTTAATTATGTTGTATTAGGGTTTGTTAGGGGGTCACAACCTTTTTTAGAGTTTTGAGATTTAGGGTTTAAAATTTTCTTAATTAGTGGCAATTTTTATAAATGAACAACCCATAGTAGCATTTTTGAAAATTGACATATCAAAAGTGGCACTTTTGCAATTGTCCCAAAAAGACTTTTAAAAATATTTCTTAATATTGTCAACTACCTTATAAAAATCTTACGTATTTTTTAAAACACTATAAAACATATTAAAGCTTCATTTCTATTTTTAATATGTGTTTATAGTTGTGTATAGAGATTTTAATATACATATTTTATTTTCTTTTGAAAAATGATTTTATTATATTATAAAAGTGTTTACCATCAAGAGAGCTTTGATATGATTTCTTGTGAACTTGTCATTTCCAACGACAGTTTCTTCTTTCTCCAACCTCAAGAGCAGATCCACAAAATCTTCACTCCCTTTTTCTTTTTCTTCTTTATGTAAATCGAACATTTGTTCATAAAACGCATCGAGATCTCGCACGCTTTTCTCTCTTCGCCCTTCTAAACCCGTGAACCGGTCGACCATCCAACCGACATACGGGATGTAATCCGAGGCAGAGAAGCTTCCCAACATCTCATATGCCTCACGGACTAGTTTATTCAGTTTACCATTGCTAAGCACAGTGCCCTCGAAACTCACACCAAATGCTGCCCTGCATAGCACGCTAACGGTTAAAGCAAGAAACTTTTCGTTCAAGTTAACCTGAGTTTTTTTAGAGGCTGATTCGGCCATTGAATCGATCAGTTTCTTGACCTCCTCTTCCCTGATGGGTTGATTAGAGTGAACTTGTTTAGTACTGAAGAGTTCTTGAACAGCGAGTTTTCGTACTTCTTTCCAGTAATCATCAAAAGGAGAGAAACCAATGTCCAAAAAATTGTAAGAGAGCTCTCTTGGCCCTGAGAAGTAAGACATGATCCATGAAGTAATAAACATTCAAAACTTTAGTATGTGTTGTGAGATTATTATTAACCCTACCTGCTAAGGGAGGACGGCTACAACAATTGAGGTCATGGTCTTTTAGAGCTTGTCTTGCTGTTTCAGAGGAAGAAAGTATGACCGTTGGGACTTTTCCAAGCTTCACAAGCATCACAGGACCATACTTCTTTGAGAGATTCCATAGAGATTGGTGTTGTAACTCTCCGATYTGGTGTAAGTTCCCGATTATCRGAAAGCTAGGAGGAGATGGTATTGGCCGATGTTGCCGTCGCTTTGAGCGTTTGAAGGTGGCGAGAAGAAGAAAGAAGATTAGGAAGAGAAGTGATAAAAGCCAAACGCTTGCCATTTGTATACTCTTTATCTTTTCTTTTTTTTTAGTTAAGACTGCTTAAGAAATCTTATGCCCTTTTTATAGTTAAGACTGCTTAAGAAAGCTTCATGCGGGAAGTAAAATCGACCTTTTGTTGTGGCTAAGGTTAGGTTAATTGGCTATGTAAATTGGAGATAGGATGTCAAGTGGGATGAAATTCAAATTCAATACGTAAATAAATGATGGTTGACCATTGAATAGAAAAACTTACGTACAGAAAATATATCACAAATAATACTGATAAGCAATATTTTGTTTTTTGATTTTGTTGGAAGGATTGAAAAATATCTTGACTAATATATGGTCCACGTTGAGTCGTAATACTGTGTATGTGCTGAATTATAACACAAGACGACATCACAAATAATGTCGTCATACGTTGGACTAAACTTGTTCACTTCCTAAGCGCAATCGTTTTCAAAGTCCACACGCAATTCGGTATCAGGCTTTATCCATGGAGTTATAACTCAGACTTGGTTTTCTACAACGAGTTTTAGACCTCAATGACCAGCCAAATTAACTACTTCATTTTCCTCCATTCTTTTACTTCCCGCATGAAGCTCTTCGAAGCATGTGATACAAAACAAAAGGTCGATTTTTGTAAGCCTCGCAAACATGTATTCATGTTTATAATTAGTCAGAAACCCGGTT